AACGGTAATAAAAATTTTTGTTTTTGATCTAGAAATAAATATTTTTTATTTTAGATGTTCTTTTACTTTCACTTGGTGTATCACATCGACGTCGATTAATAAATCAATGTCGTGCTCAAGCAGGTCAACAAAGCTTTACAAAAAACATTTTCTCTTTCGGAAGATTCAAATGAACAAATACTTATTAATGAATTTGCTAAAGGATTTTGTTCAAAATCATTTGATGAACATATATCAAAAGAAATGGATATTAATTATAAAATATCTATTGATCAATATCAAAATCAAATTGTTAAACAATGTATGTCAAATTTATTTAAACAATTTCCAGAAAATAATTTACAATTTTTAATTCAATCCGGTGCTAAAGGTTAAACTATTGATTCATTGATTTTTATTTAGATTTGATTTCATTTATTGTGAAGCATTTGAAATTCAAATAGGATTTAGACTGAAGTCATCGACTAGTACAATATGTTAGTGAAAATCAGAATCTATGTCTAAAGCCTTCCATCCTATATTCATTATTTTAGGTCGACTAATTCTATACTCGAATCTTTTAATAACTACGTCACTTGGATTTTTATATGACTATCAAATCGATTTCGGATTTTTCAACCCGGAAATTCCTCACAAGCACAGAAGTGTATAAGATTCCGTCAAATTTTCAGACTGTCTGACGAAGGAAGGTCCCCAACTTAAGGACGCTGTTCGACTCCATATTATGACTACGAGGTAGGACCAAGAAAAGCCTAACAGGATTCGTGCCTGTGGCAACGGATTTCCGAAAAGACCGAATTAAAGAATTTCGATTTGAAATTTTGTCCATAGATAGGTCTAATGGTCATTGTAATTGCCTGAAAGTTTCAGCCAAAACGAACGTTCCTTTCTCGAGATATTGAATTGTCAAAAACTAGTCACTTTTCACAGACAGATCACCAAAACCAAATTCAATATCTCGAGAAAGGAACGTTTGTTTTGGCTGAAACTTTCAGACAATTCTAATGACCATTAGACTTATCTATGGACAAAATTTCAGGTCGAAATTCTTTAATTCGGTCTTTTCGGAAATTCCTTACCACAGGCCCAAAATTCAGTAAAACGGTCATAACTCTTCGTCGATATGCCATAGGCACAAATCCTTTCAGACTTTTCTTAGTCTCATAGAGACCTACCTCTTAATCATAATATGGGTCCGTAATTTGGAGAGCCTCCCTCGTGAGAACTTTGATACGAGCTATGATAATTATGTGAATGTACTAAATATTGACTTGTATACTTTTTTCAGTTCCTTGTTTTCATATAACCTGAATGATGTGTTCATTACACTACTTTTCTCATTCATACATTCATCTGTCATCACTATTTTGTAAATTTTAATATAGATATGCTAAACTGCGCTTATTCCAATAGTTTGGTTTGAGAAAGTATCGAGCTTCAGAAGAGTTGAGAAAAAACCTCTATATACTGCTATGACAGACGACGGAAAGAAATATCAAGTAAACCCTTTACTACCAAATGAAGGCTACTCATTGTTATGAAATAGGTAGTTCAGATCTTATGAGTGTTTCAATAATGAATCTGATACTCGCATTTTTTTTTCGAGTTCGAAAACCTTTCTCTCAATTGATCATTGTTTCATTTCTAAACTATGTATAATATCATAACAGCAAAAGAATCTCAACAGAATGGTATTAAAACATTCCTATTTCCTATTTGTCAGTTTGTGAACAGTTGTCTATTATTAATGTTCATGTATAGACATTTTTCGGCTCACAAAAGAAATTCGTTTGTTCGTTAATAGAAAACATGTTAAATAATCGATATTAGATATG